TATATATATATATATATATATATATATATATATATATATATACATATATATAGATATATATATACGTATTTGTATTCACGATTTGTAGTTTTTTGAGGTGTCGGTGTTCCGAATTTTTCGCGAATCTAGAATGCCATAACAGACACGCGTCGAACAATAACAGTGACGATAATAATTATATAAACGAAACTGCCCAGCCTGCGACGCACGGTGGGCAAGCGAACACGCCTCGCGCTTTCTGCTGCTGTGGCGCACGCACGCACGCACGCACGCACGCACGCACGCACGCACGCATCGAATGTTCCAACTTAACTTGTTTGTCACCGTTTGAGGCGGGCTACAGCGAGTGACAGTTCCGAAATAAACGACCGCATGATACATTAGCGGAACATCCGGTAAACATCAGTGCAGAATAAACACCTTCGCTAGTTAATTAGCTTGCCTCGGCCGCTGCCGTGCGGCGCGGCCGAGGCACGGCGGAAGTTTTTCGAGACATTAATTGCAGAATTAGATACTCAGAAGAAACGCGATGTAATTGGAAGCAGACGATTAGCGGCGATTTGCAGACGAATTTTTGCGGCCGCGCCGCTGCCGACGATCCGCTTAAATCCGACGCTAATCCGTCACGTAATCCTGCGCGTTACTGTTGTTAATTTGTTGTTAACTCGCTAAAGTTACAATTCTCTGCACTAACTACACGCTCGGCGGCCGATCCCGCGGCGGGGCCGACAACCCCCCGTACCGCCCTGATGCCGAACACGTGCGCGAGCGAGCGGCTCAGACCCGAGAATCTGCGGAGAAAAACGACGTAAAACGAAACGCGTCTTGTTGGGGAAGCTTACCCCTCGTCCGGGCCCGCGTGAGCATCTTCCGGGGAAGCCTGGAATGATTAGCTGTCATGGCGGCCGGCGGGAAGCTGGCAGCCTGCCCCCCGGTGTACCGTGTGGTGCACAGACTATGGCCCGCCAAGCTCCTAATTACCGCTATGTCACTGCTTCAAATTAACGCGCGGGAGGGTCGGACTAATTCGAACGAGTATTTCGCTTGACGATTGCAAATGAACTAGTAGGGGACGTGGTGCAGTGACACATTATAGCGTTTAAACTTCTTGTTAGTTCAAATGTTTTAACGGTTGATTATATTTGTGTACTTAGTTTAGGGCTGGTAGACTATGTTTTGGCAAATAAATCTTGTGTTGCAGGAGCGAAATAAATGTTTCTACGCGATTTATTATGTCGTGACTATTAACATTTTAATCTTTAGTATAAAGCATCAGTGCTCGGTAATGGTGGGGCAATATTAACATAATTAATTCTTATAATTTAATTTTTATAATTTCTGTGTGGTATGATGGCGTTAACGTTAGAAGAGAAGATTGAGAATTGTGAAGAGAATTCACGATTTTTAGTCATGGTTTAAAATGGTTAAAAATCTTACAAATTTTACCGCGAAATTTTTTCAACGTATGCAATCAGACCGCAACTGTTATATTTCTAACATGAAATTTCATTATGTCATTGGCATATGATCAGTTGTCTTCGACACAACAATCTAGAATAAATACATGAATTTCCAGCGTAAATACCCCAGGAATGTGCGATCTATTTAGCTGTCGATATATATCAGGAGTAGATAATAGGGCCCTATTATCTA